CGTATACAGCGGCATATAGGGCGCTTGCAACATGACTGCGTCGGTTCGACAGTCTGGGCTCGGTGCTGGGGTTGCAGCGTCTCACTGGCGTATTCACCAGATTTGCTGTCGCACCTAACCCGGAGGAATCCAATCCCAATGCTTCTATACATGCTTGCAGCGATGGCATCTATTTGCGCTTGACGCTTGCTCCTTGCAGGCTTTTTTTCCGCGCATCTCGCTGTTTGACCCTCCTGTATTTGTTCAAGAGCATCTTTCCAAATGTCATCGCAGCACCCGTCATCCAATCGACGCTCCAGTGTTCTCCTGGAAGAGGGAGGTGCGATGAGCCGCGTGGTGATACAGCCAACCAATGCAGTTCCAATCGCTGGCATCAGGAACTCATGTTTCTTGAGGCAACGGTATTGCTTAGCTTTTTCCAGTACCCAGGCCTGATTCCCAAACGTACTCAAAAGTTAGGGTTGGCAACTGAACGTGGCCGTCTTTTCATTTGGAGGTAAAAGCCGAGGAGAAGAGCCTCACAGGTAGCACATCCGGCAGCCTTGGAATAGTGGATGACAAATTATACTATGGTGTGATTTAAGAGACGTTTTGCGCAACTAGTTCATGCGCTCAGTTGTTCACAACTCAATGCTAATAGTCCTTCACCTGGTTGCTTGGTTGGTTGCATAATTAGTTACTTTAACCATGAAGAAAACCAGTTGAGGAATTAGTTAGTTGCAGTTGGTTGGTTGGTGTTTGAGTTTCTGCAACCGTAAAACTGGGCTTGTAGTTTGCCTGATTGCACGCTTGCTTGTGTCTGTCTCTGTCTCCGCAACTCTCTCTCTCTCTCTCTTTGTCTCTCTCGCTCTGTCCCTGTCTGTCTCTGTGACAAACCTCCGCTGCTGTGATGTCAAGCAAGCAATGCTGAGCAACTGCAAACAGCACGAAGTGACACAAAGCTGCAATTGAACCAAGACTATCCCAAGCCAAGCAGTGTTCAATCGATTCTGAATGCAAATCCGGGGTCAATTTGCTGCCCCGAAGTGGTTGGGGGCTCTATGCAGAAACTACATGACCAACACACCAAGCAAGTTCAGTGAATGGGTCATACGCGGAGGGACGCTATTCCACTAGGGAAGCCCTACCAAAAGGATCTTGGCCCTTACGAGCCAAAGGTTTGTGAGGCTCTCGGTGCGCAACCATGCGGGTGCAGGTCTCCTTGCATTCTCGTTCATGTCCGGATCCATCGTGGCCAGCCCCTGAAACCATGCTCGGCACCATCTTGATACCATTGAGCAAAATGACAGCCCACTATTCAGAGAACATAGTTGCATCCACGTGTCACATCCTTTCGAGCACCTCACCTTCATGAGCCTTGGCCTGCTCCTAGAAACTCGCAGAGTTGAGATGATTGCCTGCTGGTACAAATCCGTTGCACTCCCTCAGGTGAACATGGCTCCCAGGTCACGGTAAATGGAACCACGTCTTCCAAACATTCCAAAGGCGCCTTGGGAGATGCCAAGCCTGGGGGGAGGGCAAACAAATGCCAGACGCAAACAACTCAAACAGCCCGCGACATCCGGCATCTGCACATCTTGCCTTCATGGCAGCCCATCTCACTGCTGCCTCTGCGTCAGCCAAGCAGCCGGCCCTGAGCGATGGAGGACTCTTGACCCATGCGTCACCAAGCGCGAAGCCACGAAGAGACAAACAGAAATCGTGATTTTGGCCGTTGCCAGGGATCGAAGTCAGACAAGGGTTTCAGTTGTTTGCCCTTAACCCACCTAGGAGGTGACTTTGACTATAGCAAAATCATGAGACAAACCAAGCTGCAGCTGCATGCTGCAAGTTTCATAGTGCGCAACAAGCGGCAAGGCGTCGAATGCCTCTGAACTCTGATCAGCCAGGTCCGCGATGGCTTCTACTGCGGAGCAGCGAATCCAAGCCTGCTTGTCCTTCAGCAGCGGCATCCTCAGCACTTCGCTCTTGAAGTGGCTACGAATGTTAATGAGGGAGCCTTTGGTGGGCATCGTGTAGGTGGGGATTCATGTCCACCAATCACTTTTGAGGTAGTTCCCCATTAAAATTCATGACCACATCCGAAAGCTGCGCCAACCCGCGTTGGAAGACCCTTTGGCAATCACGTCAGTGGACGCACAATCTTCAACCGAAGCAGTTTGCGTTCCACAGCCCTCTAAGGTCAACTTCCAACATTGCGCCGCTTGAAACGAGGATGGTATTCGACTAGAAGGTGGCAAGGCGTACGGCCAACGGCTAACCTTGTTGGAATTCAAAAGGGGCCCGTAGGCAGAGAGCTGCTGCCGAGCATCAGCATTTGCATGCTGCAGTGCCGCTGCCCTTAGGTGACTGGGCTTTCGCTCGGAAGTTAAACACATCAAGCGAATCCGACTTTGCAGCGAAGCATCCGGAAGGCGTCAGCCGCGGGAGAAGAATTACAGCACTGTGCCGCCATCTTTCATCCGAATGCACCAGATGCTTCTTGATGGCATCAAGCAGGAGGTCGCAATCTGCAGTCAAGCAATCAATCTGCTCGTCTCACCCCGGTCGCTTGGACAAAAGCACACAGGGAGGACAACTGCCAACCGCAATCTCTCCTTCAATTTGAACCCAAGGGAAATGCAGGCTAATCACCAGCTTGTCTGAGTGGTGGCGGTCGCATTGGGCTAAGATAAATGAAAGAAACATCAAACTCGGAGATGTTCTGTTTACAGCGTCCTGGCGACAAAACATGAACCCGATGAGCACGGCTACAGTATGCTACAGTGTGGTTTTTGCCTCTGAAGGACAAGCGTCAGCCTGAGACTAGAGTTGCAAATATGACCACGTGGCTGGTGTAGGCGTTGAGAAAGACACATGTTTTACGTACATAAGTTTGTGGTTGCTGACCCACACGCGCAAACTTGACACACACACACACGCACTCACGCACACACACACACACACACAGATACAGACACAGACACACCCACGCCCCACGCAAGAATGCCCGCGCATTCACAGTCGCATAGGCACACACCGAGACCGTAGGCACGCAGCAAGGCAGGACCGGACACACGCAACACGCCCACACACATCACACACACACACAAACATCACACAAGGCAAATTAAAGGTAAGGCGGGTAAGGTCTCCAGTACACAGACGTGCCCAGGTAAGGAAAGCGCAAAGCTACATCTTGGACTTGGATGAGAGTGCCAAAATCATAGCGTCGTGAAAAGCTTTGGAATGACATGCCTCCGGCGTCTGGATCAGCGAGCAGCGGGAGATTGCGCAGCGTGGCTTCCTCAATTCATGGCGTGGGATGCAATGTCACAAAACCGTCGCCAATCGATTTGACACAGCTCTCAATGACTCGGACTGCTTAAAAGGCAAGGGCGCGCGTACGTCTTGCTCCTTGTCCTCCAAACAAGCCGCCATGCTCAGCATCGCCTGCATGTCGCCTTTCGGAGCCACCCTGGGGAGCATTTCCTCAAGTGGAATGGGCCGAAGCTGTCCCTTGAACCAGGCATACTTTCCAGCACCTTGCTGCCCTAGCATGGCCCAGCGAGCCCTTGCTGGACAGCCCTTCTTGCAGCTAAGTGGCCAAAGCTTCACACCTCAGGGACGCGACAGCTGCCTTCCAATCCACGACCGGGTGTGGCTGCAAGCGCCCGCTTGGGGAAAGCTGTGCCCAGTGAGTCATGCCTCAAGTCACGTGTCATGCGTGGCCTGATGTCGCGGTCTCTGTCCTGCAAACAGGAGATCGCCAGCGCCGTCGCGTTTGGATGACCAGGCTCTGCGAGGGATGCGATGGCCTCCGCAGCTCAGATTCAGCGAGCAACCTGCGGCCCTGCAGCCCTGCGCATTCGCCAGCGCCTTGAGGGCGCATTGCCGCACCACCCAGTCATTGTGGTCCAGAAGCTGCGCGCTCTGCAGGATGGCCCTGTCTGCTCCTGACAAGTCAGAGCTACCGAGGCGGGCTGGTTCTACTCCTGCCTTGTTCCCCTGCAGCCGCAGGCAGAGCTTCCAACGCAGCCTGCCTGGGAGAGTGCTTTGGAATCGACCTTTGTTCATCACACTGGCTCAAAAATAAAATTGACAACTGGCAGTGCCCAATACAAAGGTGTCAACACTCCTTCCTTTCTCCCCAAGGTGCTGAAACGCAAGGCCGGGCGTTTGCAAGGATCAATGCCACAAAAGACCCAACAGTTGGTGTGAGAGGCCTACTGCTGGCCCAGGGCCCACAACATGTGGGTTGTCACATTCAACTCCCAAGAGCAAGAGACAGCTTGTTTTCTTACCTGACTGCAGCTCCAACTTTCTAGCCGTCGGGGCTTTCATGACACAACACAATATTCCAGGGCTTTGTGGAAGCTCAAGGCCGTCGGCAAACAAACCTACTTGCCCTCCGGCCGTTCAACAGTTTTGGCGCCCGCCTCACTTGTCGGTCTGGCTTCCGCAGCTGCGACACCAGCAGGGAAATGAAGATCGGATCACCTAGTGTGGCACTGCATGGGCCGGGCGCAGATCGCAAGCTTCACCACATTTGGCCGGGCTGAATGTGCTCCAAAAGCAAAAGGGGGGGGAGAAGAGTACATCATCAGGCTGTGGATGGGCGTCCGATTGGCAATCATGCGCAAATGTTAGAAGGTACCACTCAAGTTGCGCCTTGCGTTTTGGGCTACAGGCAATCCCAGATGGGAGCCTGAGGAAAGCAAATATGCAACCTCCTCAGCAGCTCCATGTTCAGTTGCCAACCAACTTGTATGCAATGCGAAGCCGGCCCGGACCCTGCCTGTGTGCACCAGCACTGGCAGCACTTCCTTCCGCACCTGGCTGGTGGCGAAAAGGCCACAGGTCCGGCAACGCAGCGGCCGGCGGAGCTGACTGGCAGTCGCAGCAACGGCAGCAGGGAAAACAGCAGCAAAAGTGGCCTCTTCATCATCACCCTGATTGCCTGATCCTGATCCTCATCCTCCTCATCCTCATCAGTGTCACCAGCATCACCTTTACCATCCTCCTCCTCCTCCTCCTCCTCCTCCTCCTCCTCCTCCTCCTCCTCCTCCTCCTCCTCCTCCTCCTCCTCCTCCTCCTCCACATCATCATCCGTCGTGATCGCCATCATCATTGTC